GCATGAAAAAAAGAAAATGTTTGGTGAAAAAAAATTGAAAATCGGCTAATGAATTTGTGAGATATCCCCCCCCTTTTCCCCTACCCATAACTTTTTTTAATAGCAAGGAACCCCCCCCCCCCTTGTGACATATCAAATGAAAAATAAATTTCACCAAACATTTACTTTTTCATACTCTTTCATTTGATATGTCACAAAGGGTACCTTGCAATTAAAAAACAATTAAGTTCCGGGGATGGGGGGGGGAAATATCTCGCAAATTTATGAACCGATTTTAATTTTTATCATTAACCATTTTCTTTTTTCATGCTGTTTTATTTGATATGTCACAAGGGGTACCTTGCTATTTAAAAAAATTAAGTTGGGGGAAGGGGGGGAATGTGAATGTAACGTTAAATTCAAAACAATTGGGGCCCCCTACGTCAATAGATGATTCCCGCAAACTGCATATTTCTATTTATTGCGGTTTTTACATAAATAAAGATGCAAGTTTAAAAAAAAACACCCTGTATATATATAAATCTATAAAAATTTGAACGAATGGTGTTTTTAGCCTCTGGGGACATCAAAATGAAAAAGTAAATCGGTCCCGGGCCTAGGTCTTACCATGCCACCTACGGTAATAGCTACTTCCCTATAGGGAAATTCGCTAATATATATTTTTGCTTTCAAAGTTAATATGATGTCGTTGGTGAATTGAAAAATGCCTTGTTATTTAAATTACATTAAATTACATACAAGTTTTGGAAATGATATACCACATGCATTTTTATGAACATTTTTGAACAAAATTGACTTGGTAGGTACCAACGCCGATATTTATTCGGTAGTTAGTACTTCATTTCGACATGTAACGCTTTTTTGGCCGCCATCTTGAATCGCCATATTGCATATAAATAAAATATTTTAAATATAATAATAGTGTTGTAACACATAATTTTAAACTATATTATTATTTTTAACTATATCTAATTTTCATGCTGTATTTAACTATGAAATCCGTTAGTTTAATATCCTTTTTCATTTTGGAGATATATTCAAACAAAATTCTACCCCATACATTTCTAATGAATGTTTCGTACTTTGAACAGTAAAAAAATAGTTTTTCTACATCTTCAGTTATTACTAACGCTTGCAGTTCGTTCTAGCCTTAAAATATTCATTGATGTAAGGGCTTTCATTTGAGCTATTGGCTATAAAACGGATGAGTTATAGACCAGCTACGAAGCACAATACAATATTAAATTGACCTTTTTAGAAATAAGTTGGTATTAAAAGATTTATATCTCGGTTTGTTAATACGTGACCAAGTTGTTTCTGGTCTCAAACTACTCAGTAAATGTATGGCTTTAATTTCAATATTCACTAAATAAAATCTGACAAATTTAAAATGATACTTGGCCTTTTATTTAAAATTAAATAATTTTTATTTTGAAAACTGTTTTTAGTTAAATAGGATAATCTCCGATTCTAAATAAGTAATTCATAGCTAAAATAAGTCAATACTTTGGCGAATCATTTAAGACTATAAAGGATTTTTGGAGTAATTTAAAGTGGGGGGTTATATATAGGCCCATTTAACTAAAGACAGTTTTCAAAATAAAAATAATTTAATTTAAATAAAATTCCATGATTCAATTTGAATTTGTCAAATTTTGTTTAGTGGAGGATAAATTATGTATTTTTATTCAAAGTAATTTTTCATTTTTCAGAGTAATTTTATTTTATACATATTGGGGATATATGTATTTAACTAAAGACAGTTTTCAAAATAAAAATAATTTAATTTTAAATAAAGGTCAATGACTAATTTTGAATTTGTCAAATTTTATTTAGTGATTAATAAAAATTTAAGTGATTAATAACATTAAAATTTGTCCAATGTTGGGAAAAGCCACATTTTTAATAGTGATTTTCGGGAGTTTCTCGTAGACCAATTTTTTACAACAGTATGTCACACTGCACACCCAACAATAAAAATAAAACCATAAAACGTTTCATTGAAATTTTATTTTAGAGGTCATATCTTTTTCTGACTACTAGTGTAATTGTCTATTATAAACAATTGAATTTTGGTATATTTCAAAACCCCTACTTTTTCAATGTTCCCATGCTCAGATTTTGTCAGATTTTTTTTATACATTGCCCTATATGTATGAATGTATGATTCCAAAATATATCTTAAATGTTCTTAAAGCATTTTTTCCCACCTCAAAGTGTATGTTAATAAGACTAGATGTAGTGGTGCAGCACGGCTAGGGTTCCAAGTTGAAGACTAATAACAAATTAGTTGACCAGGATCCGAACCCACGACACTTCTGCCTTGGGCCCAAAGTCCGTGACGCTACCAAACTGAGCCACCGACTCACCAACTGAACTGAGATAGAGACCTCTAATTTGCGTTGTTGGTTTTCTTTTACCAGGACCTTTAAAATGAGGGGTCACTCGATGGGTCTTTGTATTTGAAATTTTTGAGTTTCCCCCAAAATCCCCCATTTTGGGGATGAACACCAAGTGGCGGTTATGCCCCTAAAAGTACTTCATAACATGCCATAATGGTGTGCCAAGTTTAGTTTTTCTAGTATGGGCCGTTAAAAATATAACAGCGGGTCTCCACACTTTTTACTAACCCTGTATAGTTTTTAAGTCATCTTGGCCGCCATCTTGAATATCTCAATTTGATCAAGGGTGACAAAGTGGCACCCTGCCTATTTTAATTATGTAGGTAGGTCTTGAAGAAACAGAAACCACTAAAAAGCACCGGGTGGACCTTACTTCCAGGTTTTTTGACCTGCAACCAGACTACATGTCTCCTGCTGCCATATCAATTATAAGAAGAAATCAAATGGAAGATTTCCCTGAGTGTGTAACATCAGATTTTAAATGAATTATCTGCATAGCTCCAGGCCAACTTGGACCCGGTGTTTTTATGTTGAGATCTGCCACAATGGACTGTTTTTATTAAGCGGAGCATTTGTTAATATTGGAAGTTTACAGAATAATATGTTTCCCAAAAAGGTTTTGGAATATTTGTGTTCCAAAATCTCAACTATGCCCAAGTGTTTGATGACAATATCACCAACATTTTCCCTTTTCACAGTAGGGTAGATGGTATTTTTTAGAGTCATTGAAGCAACCATACCCATGCCTTGAAAGGTAGCCTATTCTTCCAGTCCAAAGTACAAATATTTTGATCCACATTGCCTGCTGCTAGCAAAAGGGTTGTGTATTCAGCAACATTAATAGAAGTACAAGCACCTAAAACCACTGTGTTTTTTTTTTGTTCAAATCTAAATACTTCCGTGTATGATGGACAAAATCCAAGATTGTGTAGAACGTCAATAAGGCACCTTGATCTCTAATTATGATGAAGCTGAACAGACAGAACAATTAAGGACATGGTAATTCTCTAGGGCGGATAGATTGTATGGTGGACTGACCCACAGAATCAATTTTCACTGACGTATCCTTTCCAACAAACATTTTAGATAACAGCAATTTTAATGTTTTAGGAATGAAATTCAATGCATTTTCAACTGTTAGTTCATTAGGTGATGGGTACTTATCGATTCATTCTTGTATCGGTAAGGGTTTTGACGTCAATTTTTATTATTTTTGCAGCAGCTTCTATTAACTGAATCATATGCAACTCAATATCACGAACGTGTGATGTATTTTTATGGTAACTTCGAAGAATACCAGTAGTTGTATCACGTAAAGTTACTATGTCTGATTTCCCTACACTATTAGATATTATAATGTTTTCTCCATAGCATTCCAAAAGCTTAATCTTCATGTACTTACGATCATAAGCATGGCTCTGTCCACCCTGAAGATATTCTCCCATTTCAGAAATTAGGTCCCCAAAAATCCTTTGATCTTCATCATTTTCGTCAAAAAATTCACAAGTTTGAAGAAACACCTGATACTGTTCTTCATTAGCTAGCCGCACCTTTTCTGAAGAGTTCTTGTTAGTGCAGTATTCTTGAGGACAATTTCTCCAACTACGAAAATTGGTGCTGCATGATTGATGATAGACACAACCTGCAGACACAAGGTCTTCTGAGCAGCATGCCAACCTGCCGCGTACATTAAATGACCACACATAACAGTGTTTTTCACAGAATTTTTATGGCTCCAACAAACTGTGTGGTTCCTACTTTCACATTTTCGGTCTTTGGCTAATGATTGGATATGAAGTCCACCAATTTTCTACAAAACAAACCGCGAGTAGTAATTGATACCGGGCCATCAATCAAGCGCACACTTTTCCTTTTTTACTTCTTCAAAGCTAACCTTTGGTTTTAAAATGCCAGTATTATTTTTATCGGTAAAGGTTTTTCGACACAATACATGAACACTTTCACCGAAAGTTGCAAATCATTGCTTTTGCGGAATCGGCTTGCTTCATTTATGCTATTTACCCCCTTTTCTGAAAGTTTTACAGTGTATCCTACATATGATTTTTGATTAGGATACATATCACATATACATCAACAAAGTCATTGTCAACTTCCATGATTATTTATCTTATTAATCAATAACATAACAAATTATAGTAAATATACAAAAAAAGAATCACAACTGTATCTCCGAAGGTTTTAAAATGTTAGCTTACATTAACGAATATTGAAATAGGGCTAAAAATAAACAAACTAAAAAACAACTCAGCTGTTTTGCAATAACAATACAAGCAGTATACTAAAACAGGGTTGCCAACTCATTGTTTCTAATATCTTGAAAATATACAATGTTAAATAATATCGGAAACAAAATAAATGAGTTAGATTTTGAGTTGCAGACTTTTACACAGTGTCCACCATTTTGAAAGTGATTTATTGGGGGTTTCCCGTGGTCGGATTTTGTCTGATTTTGGATATGTTATAAAGCGGTAATTTATAAGTAAAAAACACACTAAAAAGCTTCTGTTGCAATTTTTCCACGGATAAAGATATATTAACTGTAGTTTTCCTGAACTAGTAGTTAGTTACGTAGTTAATTGTTCGTGACAGATGTTTCAACAGACAGAGAGCGCTATTCGATTTCTCACCAGCAGTACTGCATGATTTCGCGATGTACGAGTTTCTGCTGTTTTTGTTGGTAAGTTTTTGTCTGAACATCTTTAGGACATTAGTTTAGTATTTTTATCAAACCTTCATTACACCATGAGTAAAAGTTACGGAAGTATTATCATAAAGTTTTCAAACTTCTTTACTATTATTTACTCCCAACATTCGAACTCACACATTTATTACATTAGTAAGACTAGCTGTATCTCGTGCTTCACAACGGGACAAGAATACTTAAGAGATTAATTTTGGTTTATAAATCTATTAAAAAAAAACTACACGCACTTACCATGGATTATAAAGAAACATTTCAATCGTACCATTTTGCTTATTTCAATGAAAATCCGTTGTCATAACAACTCATAACTTTAGCGCAATGTAAACATCTACAGGGTGTTCAAAAAATGTGGACATAATTTACGTAGTGATTACTTTGGGTCAAAATGAAGGGAAAATCAAGTATAATCAGTCAAGAACACTTTTAAGCTTATTCCACCTAATCTTGATGATGATCCCAGGAATCAGAAACCATTTCAACCTTAAATTTTTAATGTACGTTGTCTATAGTAATTAGTAGTATGTATCTTGATTGTCTTATTTAAATACATTTTCAGGCTTTCTTCTGCATTCTCCTATGCAAAACTATGCTTATCGAAGCTGTCAAACTCGAAGATGTACCAGACAATTATAAAGGAAGTAAGTACCCCAATAGGTTTGTTCACTTGTGTCAGAGGCAAAACAAAAACAAATTTTTTATATAAAATAGGCTAAATAGGTATAAAAATACAAAATAAATAAGGATAAGTAAGAAAATGTAATGAAATATCCAAAAATTTAATATAACTTTATCATATTATGGTCATTTTTAGACCAATTTACAAACTGATTTTAATTTTCACAAAAAGAAACTCACAATATTGAAGAGGTTTTTTATAAATTAGTCCTAATTTTCATAGTATATATTACCACACAAAATGTAAAAATATCAAACTCCAAGTTTATTTTTTAAATTTGTATAATATTTCATTCAAATTAATATTTTTAACGAATATTTAAATTAAATGAATGATCCAAAATCAATTAATTGTATTGCATCTTTTAGAAAGCGCTGAGTTTATTTTTTAAATTTGTATAATATTTCATTCAAATTAATATTTTTAACGAATATTTAAATTAAATGAATGATCCAAAATCAATTAATTGTATTGCATTTTTTAGAAAGCGCTGATGATATTTTATGAATAATATTAAGTTTACTTCTTACATTTATGAAAAAGAATTGGATCTTCCATTTACATATATAAAGTCCTTATATATAAATGGATATATGTTTGGTGTCATAAACAACCTGATTTATACAATAATTAGAAAATTGTGTAGGTTGTAATATATGTAAAATAATTAATAACGTGAAAAGATAATAAAAAGGTAAAAAAAAATATTTAATTTTTTTTTAAGAGAATGTAGGCTAATAAATAATATTCATCCATATCATACACAACAAGTTAATTAAAGAAATATATTCTATGTATTTTAAAGCAATTTAAATAGGCCTAACATTTAAAATGTTAAATTATTTTATATAAAAAAATATTATGAAAATAAGATGATTTATTATAAATTTTAAGATATAAAATAAAATATTAATTTTAAATTAAGTTTTGAGGTAAAAACAATATTAATTTTCAATAAACATATAAGTTTAATAAAATGAAATATATCATTTGATATATTGTTACCTATGATTTTTAATTAAGAAATATAATTTGTTAATAAAATCAGGTTCATAGATCATCTGTTACACACAAGTCTTAACAAACTAGTTTGTGACATTTTTAATAACAATTTTCTTTTAATAAATGGTAGAAGATATATCTGTTTGATGGTAGATGATAGGCCTGGAGTATGGTAAATCCGGTAGAAGAGATTAATAATATTAAAGAAAGAGAAAGTAACTTTTAAGAACACAAATCATTACTAAGTTTAGATTTGAAAACAAAATAAAAAAATAAAAAAGAGATGAATATGAACCCACAATTAATAATTTTAGAATTAGAAAAATGTAAAGTTATTTCGCCTCATAAATTTGTTAACATTTTAGATGAAAAAACACTAAAATAATGTATACACCCCGCCGCAGCAAACCTGCAGGCTAAGTGAATTTTCATTTACCTGGATGGATTTCTACTAAAATATACCCTTAAAATTGTAAGATTTATTTCCTCTTTAAGTAACATTAATTATTTTAATAAGTTATTAGGTATAGTTATTTAGGTACAAAGAACTGGTACACAGCTAGTATATACACACACACACACATTCAAAACACAAAACTGGCAATTTCTTCTAAACCATTTTTGTAGAGCTTAAAAATAACTAATTTAGTATACTGAAGTGTTTTTTCACGATAAATGGTTAGGGAGAAAAGTTCAAAATATTTTAAATTTACAATTTCCATGTTATCTTTATGGAGTGAATCAAGTCAACTGTACGTAGTTTGTATCAAATTTGGTAAACTCTTTCGTTTCATACTAATCTATGACATTTACCCTTGAACACTCTTTATTACATGACATATAGCAGCAAGCCTAGTTAATCAATAAACCTATTTTTATTTAAGAAGTAACTTTTTTAAGGACATGTTTAAGTGTAAATTAAAACAGGTAAATGGAAATTTGCTTAGTCTGTAGGTTTGCTGTGGCGGCGTTTAAGATATTTCCACATTCAAGAAGTTTTAAATTTTTTTGTTGCTACCATTTTGGTCTGTGTTCTTGATATTTTAGTTTATCACTCTATTCGCTTTACAATATTCAATTAACTTACGACATCGAAACAGACAAACCCGTCAATACCATAAGGACCAAAGCATCCATCTGACCATACATTTGTAAACCTTATTTCCTACCCTCAACCATCAGACGCAGCACTTACCAACACCCTCCGTCAAAGAAATACCTCCCGACATCATGTCTCTGCCTAGAGTCCGACCGCGACACCAGTGACTAAATCTGTTGTTAATTTTATAAACATTTGTATTAGTGATAGGAAAGCGAACTGGTCTAGTGGTAGAGCGCGGTACTTCGGTATGCGAGTCTTGGCTCGAATCCTGCCAATCACCAATGGATTTAATCTGAATGATGATGTCGTAACCCCTATTTTTTTGCCTGAAGTAATAAGATGCTGTATGAAGTAATTTGCTGGTGAAATGCGTGTATAGTGACTAGACTATTTAAATCAAAAACTAATGTAAAAGTCTTATGATTTACTCCACCAGAGAAACGCTATTATTTGTATAAAATTTTGAGTGTTATTAACTTTGATAAAATAACATTGTGACGTTTGTTGTGTCATCATATTGCGTTGCATAATTTAACAGCATTTCAATTAATAATGAATGTGATTTATTTTTATATCCAGCGTAGTTCATGGATTGGCAAAAAAAGACAATGCAATTTTCTGCACCACCACTTTTGAGACTATTAATGGAGTGTACAATTAGACCTAAGTAGTTTTAACATAATGTTTGTTTCCAGTGAAACTAGAGAACGAAGCAGGAATAATTACAGAAAAAACCGTAGAAATAAACCCCTTATCAGATTGTGGTTATGATACTAGTATCGTCTCAAGCTCCGATTCGAAGTGGAAAACTACAACTATCTACGTTCAATATCGGGTGCTAGCAACATTCAAGAAAGAAATTGAAAATGGGCAAAGCAATGATTTGTATTACAGAATACATAAAGTAACATGTGACCTCTTGGAACTCAGCTATTTTGTGTCAAAGACGAAGTTTGTCAAACTGGTGATAGAGAAGCGTGACACATATAAACAGAAGGCAACTGATCAAGGTGGCATACTTGGTCTTCCTTTTTATGAGAAGGACTGGATTTGGGCAATTGTCGGGAAAGAACAACGTAATGTATACAAGAAAACGGCAGAAGAGTTCTTCTTAGAACCTAAGGAGTAAAAACTCGGATGAATTGTAGCAAACACTAATAATATAGTGTTTAGCATTGAATACAAATACGTAATAAAAGATTGCTACCATGTAACGTTGATAATAAATAAACAACCTTATTTTTACAAGTATCATTATCTGTGTTCTCCAACTATGTACTAAAAATACTACACTATCTGTGTACTAAAAATTGTAAAATATGAACCTATTATTTTAAAAATACCCCCACCGCAGTAAACCTGCAGACTAAGCGAATTTCCATTTGCCTGAATTGATTTTAAATTAAACTAGAGGACCCAATCTGCTTAACGACATTAAAGGGCAATTTATAAAAATAATGGATAGTTTTGCGCAAGGTTTCTCGTCATGATGAACATTTAAGTATATGATTTTATGGTTTTTTTAAAGTTCATGGGTACTTTGGGCTTTATATATAGATTTTTTAAATAGCATTAGGTTTAACGAGTATCTAGGTTTGCTGCTGTACATCCCTGTTCTCATGGTCTGATCATGCTGGCGAACTCATGTTTCTTTAGTTCTTTAACTGTGAATTTCTAAATATTTACTTATTATAAAATAATTGTTTAATTTTCCAATGAGCAGATCTATATGGGATATATGTTTCAATCTATGTCATATGAATAAAATTGATCAGTTAAATGAGGCATTGGCGCTTAATTGGTTGCGTTTAAAATTAAAATCAGTGAGGAGCGTGTAGAAACGAGCGTTTCTTCAGTCAGGCGTGATTATTAAAAATCTCATATTCAATCAAGGATAGCTAAGCGATGTTTACGTTTTTTAAGAATTATTAGTTGCGATAAAAGGTTACTAACAGAAATTTCTATGAACATAAAATATGATGTATTCATATTTAGAAAAATTTTTACTGTAAGACGTTGATTTAATGACTGTAAATTTTATACTTTAATTTGTTAAGCTCAATTATTGAGTGATTTTAAAAAAACGTAAACAATTTTCACAGCAACGCAGTATACTAAGGTCACAAGTGAACGTTCAAACGTTTGGCCAATTTAGCCACTAATTGGGTGACCAAACGGACTATTGGAAGCTCTCATGAGATTGGGACTGAATCACAAGGGAAAATCAATATTCAGTAATAAGACTTCGAAAATCTATCTTCAAACAATCACCCCCAAAACAAAGTACTTTTGTAGGTGATGATTAACACATGTTGATGAAAATATTTAACATTAGGTCGTGGACTTTAGAATGAATGAATAACTTTACCCACCTTTTAATAGTGTAAATAATAACAGGTTTGAAAAAACCGTATTAAATAGCAGTGTCACATGATGGTAATTATGAAATATCCTTTGAATGTTAGAAGCACGTTAGAACAGAATCAGTATTGATAGTTAAAGTAAAAAATGACCTCACTGGCCTGAAAGTAATTATGTTTTTATTATCTAAACGGTGCTGTCATTTTTGATTATGCGTTTTAACCATGCAGAAATCCTACCAGTCATCATATACCCATTTTAAAACTGTTAGGTGTGTGTATGCTTAATATATGTCTTTTGGAGACCGGGTAATGAGCCTTGATAATGTATAAAACATGACATCCAAAGATAAAATTCTATGGGTTTAGATGATAACGTTTGAAAATTAACAAACTATACTAAAAATGTTTATGTACTATTTAGCAAATAAAAAAAAACCAGATAAGTCTTGTCTAATACTTTAACTGCTCTAGTTGCTTTCTGAGGATAATCTGTTACTTTCCTGGCTGATAAACCAGTTCCCAGTGCCATATTACCCTGCGTGAACAATAACTACCAGATTAAGCATCAGCAACCAGCAATAACTTTCCCTGTCAAGAGAAAGTGGAAATCCCCGGACAAATTGTGCCCTGGAAAATTTATCTTCGTGAAAGTTAATTGTGGTACAAGTATATTGCGGTCTTTGTAAAAATTAACAGACAGGTAAAACAAATCACTTCGGTTTAAAACGGTTAATATTTTACCTTCCCAGTGAGCTATTTGCTATTGTCTCATTGGCGTTGATGTAGGTGAAAATCGTTTTGAAATACCCCATTGTTTTAAATGGAACATAGTTTATAAGTAAGTATATGAATATTGAATAGTCCTTACTGTATCATAAACGAGAGGTCCGTCTGGCTGTCTTTTATTTTGCAAAACCATTAAACCAAATTTTACGAATTTTCCCGCGAATAATACACGCTATGCCCAGCATAGTCATAACCTAATCATATACAGTAGTAGTTTTTGCGTATTTGCTTGAGACCTTAATAGTTCATACGGGTATTTTTTAAAAGTACATTTTAAGTAGTCACTATGGCATACAAAATTTAACTACAACAACATTTTGCTAAATTGTTTGAAAGTTTTATCTATTTTATTCTGTTAGACATACATTAAATATACATAATCTATATTTGGTGTCGTTCGTTTAAGCTGAAGTAGTCTTTTTGCGCTACAATTCTATATCCTACATGCCACACTGATGAAGTTTTAATTGAAATGTTAAGAAATAAATTGTTGTATTCAAAATATCTGATATAGTGAGGTCTAATATAGTGGAAGTTTGTATCGTCTTCTAAACTTATCCTTTTATTAGAAAGTTGGACATACATTTAAAGATGGGGTTTTGAACCTTTAGGTATTGTGGTTATCATGTAGCCATAACACCATTATTGTTGTTACTATTATTAAACTGGACTTTTCAACGTGCCTTGTGTTTAAAACTACACAATGTTTCTGGAGGTGGATCAACTCCTCCCGTTACGAAGTGAAAAATACTAATTCTACACGAATCAAAATTGGCCCTCAAAAAAGGTGGTTAGTCACAAAAACAGCTTACCTAAAAACAACTGTATACAACAATAAAAACTGAATGAATAAAAAATGAAACACGAAATTAAAACTAAATACAGTAGAAAAATATAGAAACTCTGAAAAGAAAACTAAAATGATTTGTAGGGTTTGAGCCCGGGCTCAGTCTAATAGCAGCTAACAGACTGTTTGTTACAATTAGAGTAGTCAAGGAAGTTTGTACATGTATATTCATGGTAAACCGAATCTCAGAAAATATACTGCAAAATTCAAATACTGTATCATGTCTCCCTGTAACGACTAAATGAGGTTTCGATGATGCGTTTCATTAGTTCCAGTTTCTAACGAGATTTTGATTCCCTTTGAAGATCTTAATTAGTCTCAACTGAAAGAGGAGTGTCAGTTTTGTAATTAAATTCTTGTCTTATTTTATGTTAAGCTTCTGAGATGAAATTGTCGACAGACAACGTGTTAAAACAACGTAATAACGTATTAATTATAATTTAGATTTTTTCTTAACACCAACGTCATCTAACATAATTAATTCCTGAGCGATTTAGATAATAAATGATACGTAACTTTGTATGAAATTGATTTTCTTTGAAATTGTACAAAAATGAGTTTTATGATGTTATAAACTGATTACAAATCTACTTATTATTAATAAGGGTCACCACATTATTCCATAAGGTCCATGAGGTAATAACAGGAATTTGAATCTTCTTTACTGAAGCTTAGGACTAGCCACACCCCATAGAGAAGCTATTAAAATACTTACCAGATATTATGAGACAGTGAATACATTCATAATTTCTGAGTGGCTGTGTATACATAGTGTTTTATGATGTTCTACCAACTAAAATTGATAAGTTACGATTTCCCCATCAAATCACGCATACATATATTTTGTATAAGTTAAATAACGTGTGGATTTTAACTATAGGACTCATCCTGCACACTGTAGCATTACAGTACTGTATTGTGTTACTATATTTGTACTAAATCACATTGGATTCAGGACAAGAAATATAAACATACTACTTACCAACATTTTAAAAGGGGTGATACATTTGTCAGAGGCCATTATTTTTTACCGCCTAGCAAAGTCTTACCTGGTTAAAAGGTCGGTCCTTCTTCTTCGGTAGTGATGAACATTATGGTAATGACGGTGGATGATGAGATATGGTACTATGAGACTAATTTAAGCGTGCTGATTCTGCTACCAAGTTATTTACATGAAAGACGTGTTGGGGACCAGAGTACGGAGATCTTTTACCCAGACCGGAAGCTTACATAGCCAGCTTTGATTTATGCTAATACAACTAATTTATTTAAACTATCCGTCCAAAACATGTGACCTACAAAATGACTGTAAATGAAAAGATTGGCTGGTGATTGAACTATTTAAATACGAAATAACTGACAATTTATTGAGAAGAACTATGGCATCTTTTGGGGAAAACGTGTTGCCCTAATCCTGTTGAGGGTGGTCCGAGGCTGAAGGCCTGGAACGCTAATTGTTGATAGTGTATCAGAATAGTAGTATAAAGTCTAAGACCAGTAGCATAAAACTAGGCCTGACCTGGGCAAAATTAATAACAAAGCAAAACCAACTGGAATGTGTTAGGCATGCATCCCTTAACATTTTATGAAAATTCCCAACTTTTCCCACTGTAGCAAAATCCGCCATCTTGTAAAATGGTGGACAATCTTTAAAACACTGCAAGGTTCCACTTAAAAACTTATTGTTCTCAAACCATTCCACCCAGAAAAGTCCAATTAGTCTTAGATTCTTTGCCATAATATTATCTACAAGAATATACCATATTATATATTAGTAATATAACTTTAACAGTGAAAAAAAAATTAAATTTTAAGTTATTCATTGTGACCCTTGGTTGGAAATATAATTGATAAAATGGAAGAATTACCTTATCCAACCACAGTTGAGGGAAAATACAGTACTATGGAAAAATCAACAACGCCATCACCAAAATATTTAATAGAAACAATACGACTGTCGCACATTCCGTAAACAATACACTCCAAAAGTTTTTCCACGCCAAGCCTGTTGCCACAAACAACTATGAAAAATCAGGCATTTATAGAATTAACTGTGACGACTGTCCAAAGTACTACATCGGCCAAACTGGAAGATCTTTCAAACAAAGATTTAAAGAACATATACCTAAAAGATCACAACATCAGCTATCCAGTTATGCCGAACATTTAATATCAGAATCACACAACTACACATCTATTGACAAGAACATGGAAATAGTTGAAGTATTAC